TGCACTTTCAGCCACATTGCACAGATTTCCTTATCTTTGTAGTAGGAAATTTCTTCAATTTCTCTATCCCCCCCCTTCGAACCCGTTTCCTCAGGTCTGGCCTCTTGCTGTTTAAATTGATCTATCAGTCACCCGTGGTTAGTTCTTTCATTGTCCCCTCCACCAATCTTTCCCCCATCATCCCCACTAACCTCCAACCCCCGGGCTTTCCCCAAGCCATAAAGGATTCCCAACTGGCATAGGATTCTAGGGTTAGCCTCAAACCCTTCAAAATCCCTTTTTTTACCTTTTTGGGCCCAGTTTCTTCAACAAGTTAAGGTTCTTGTCACCCCTCCCCCGCCTTACCTAAAGGTTTACACAATTGAGGATTTAAAATTTATCTCTCCAAAAACCTCTTAGAGTCAGTTTTTGGGTTTTTGGGTCACTACAAAGCACCTTTCAAAAAGAGCTTTTGTGTACGTTTTTTGAAGTTTGAAATAACCTGCTGGTCCATGGGCTGCAGGAGAGGAGTGGTATTAGGAGGCACATAAAACTTCACTTAATAAACCTCATGTCCCAAAAAGTCTCGTCTGCCACGTCTGTAGGAGTGACCAGGGGCATTGTCTAACACCAGGAGGCACTTATGTTCTATTTCTTTTCAGTTTAGGCTAATCTTTCACTGGGGGGCAAATGGCATGGTGTAACCAGTCATAGAAAAAAGTCCCCTAGTGACCCATGCCTACTGTTTGCCCTCCATCAGCACAACACAAATTTTCCTTGAGGGACATTCTTTTGCCTGAACGGTCTGGGAGTTTCAGTCGTGTTAACTAATATAAAGGGCTTTCACTTTGCAATCACCACTAGACATTGGAACAATCAAACAAAGTAGCCTGTCTTTCATAGGTTTTGTCCTGGGTATGAGTGCCTTTTCCTCCTGGAGTAATGTATGTCCTGTTGGCATTTTCTTCCATATCAGGCTGTTTCATCACAATTTTAAACACTTGTTCAGGTTTTCAGTCCTTCAGTTTTCTATGTACTCCTTGAATTCCTGCACAAATTTTTTAGCTGCTTAGTGGTACCGGTAACTGGCAGCCTCACCATGCCTTTATCACACTTTGTATGCACACTAAGTTTCTTGATAATCTCTTCAAAACCATTCCTTTGCTGGCCTTAAATTCACTAACATCATCACTAGTTGCAGGCATTTTTTTTAATTAAATCCTGATGCAACTTCACTTACCTTTTCCACTTATGATCAATTGTGCGGAGAGATGCTATCTCCTGCTATCTCTTTTTCATTTATCCACACCAACAACAGTCTCTCATAATCTTCATCACTTGCGATCTCTGTTTGAAATCCCAGTTAATACTTTGGCATGACAGCTTCCTTGATTGCCTTTTGTTTGCCCACAATAGTTTAGCGATGGTTGAGTTGGGGTTTTAATATACAACATGGCCAGCTCGGAGACCGCACTCCACGTTTCATACTTATCAATGATCTCTTTCTTCATCTTATTTTAATTCTCACCCTTATTGCTGTTTGGGTTGGCACTAGAAGCTTTTCTGGGGCCCAATCACCCCGAGTGTCCACTTATTTGACGATATAAAATCACCAGAAACCTGTAATAATACGAAATGTTTCCGATGGTTATGCTTGGATGTTACCGCGGGAACATGTAGTGGGCTGGTAAGGGCCGAACATTAGACGTGTCTCGGAACGGTCTACGTTGAGGGGGTTTTTTTGGGTATGTCGAGGCAAATTCTTTCTTAGCGATAAAATGTAGCGGTATGCAGATTTAAGGTCATGTGATGCCAACGGTTTTGCGGGTGGTCCCTGTATAATTTTCGTATGGTTTTTATGGTTTTTATATCTCATTTTTTTTGGACGTCATTTGATAGAAGATGGGAAGATATATTACAGGAATTAGACTTGATTTTGATTGCTTTCATTGACGAAAAGTACCTTGACTTCACAAATTCGTAATGACATGATTGAAAAAAAACCATTACCCCGCCGGGATTGAACCGCGGTCCTGAGAGTTCAAACTACGACCGTCGCGTTAAGCCAACTAGACCAGCTAGCCACAATAAGATTCGTCAACTAGGTTTATTTCTACACCATAGGATGGTTAGCACAGGCACACTGTGACCACATATGCAAGTTTTTACAGACGAATCTCCAGTTAGCGTGGACGTGACGAAACCTCTAGCTCAAGTCCCTTCACTGCATCTAACATGACTCCGAAATAGTAATGACACAGTTTGCACAAAACCATACCCCGCCGGGATTGAACCGCGGTCAGTGTTGTCTCAAAAACTTCCAGGCCCGGCGCGGTTAGGCCACTAGACCAGCTAGCCACTTTTTAGATTCATCCAACTAGGTATATTTCTACATCCATAGGGTAGGTTAGCTCAGGACCACTGTGACAACATAAGCAAGATTTTTACAGACGGAATCTCCAGCTAGCGTGGCCGCGTCCTGACGAAAATCTAGCTCAGTCCCTTCATGCTAGCTGGAGATTCGTCTGTTAAAAACTTGCATTTCGTGGTCATCAGTGGTGCCTGTGCTAACCTTCCTATGGTGTAGAAATATACCTAGTTGGACGAATCTTATTGTGGCTAGCTGGTCTTGTGGCTAACGTGACGAGTGAGTTTTGAGACTCTGACGCGGGTTCAATCCGGCCGGGGTATGGTTTGTTTTGCAATCGTTATCATTACATTTTTGTGAGTCATGGTTGACGGGGCCCAGTGGAGGGACTTGCGCTAGAGTTAGTCCACGGCCAAGCTAGCTGGAGATTCGTCTGTAAAAACTTGATTTGTGGTCTCAGTGGTTGCATGTGCTAAACCTTCTATGGTGTAGAAATATACCTAGTTGGACGAATCTTATTGTGGCTTGTGGTCTAGTGGCTAACGCGACTGCTGGAGTTTTGAGACTCTAGGACCTCAGGTTCAATCCCGGGCCGGGGTTATGGTTTGGAAATGTACCATGGAATTTGTGATCAAAGTAGCGAAAAATGGTTCGATTTTGGCCGATGTTCCAATGAACTTTGTGTAAGTCAAGTCGTTAATTTTATTAAGTGAATATTCCTAACCTAACCACTCTGTAATCAGGCAAAACTCGGTTAATACGGCTCACACTACTAGGTCCCAATGATGCCGGATTTATGATGGAGGTCCTGTATTTTTTTAAATATTTATATAGTAGTGTATGTTATAAACCCCTTTATTTATTGTAATGATACAGGTATAGTGGAAAATCACGTCTTAATTTTACATTATTTAGGTATGCGTACTGGTCAGAAGAGCCCGTCGTTAAATAAGTCCAAGTCGTCCGGTTTGTGTAGGATGTCGTTAAGTGAGGAGAGGCTTGTATTAATGTATACAAGTAACAATACAGTACCAGTATTGCATTTTGAGTACTGGGTTCATATAACTCTTTGTATCCAGCAATTAATATGTAATAGCTTTTTAAGATAAGGTACCAGGTCAGGCACCCAAGTTGTTTAAACTGAATACCTATCTCTATGGGTAAGGTGAGTTACTTCCTGGGAGTTTTTTCCACAAAACAATCTTGATATAAAGTACCAAAGAAAAATATTATGTGGTACTTGAGTATCGGTGCAATTTATGGTGGCTGCTCAGATTTTGATGCTTTACTTATGGGAACCTGTGTTATACTTAAAAAAAAAAAACATAGTACTAAGAGTATATTTGTCAATTTTTATCTCTAATCATTGTATGAGGTGTGGGGTTAGCGGAGGGCCCTTTTGAGTGAAGTATTCTCGATGTTTTATGAAATCCTTGTGTTGTTGCCAACGTTACCTTCCATTGGTACTTATGTATTAAGCTATGTTGTGTAGCTATTTTCTCTGATTTAATTTTTTATGCAGTTCTTTTTTTCAAAATTGTCTGCAATGCTGTGGGTAACCTATTCAGTTTGGCTTTACCCTGTTATGTGGAAGTAGTAATATATTTTCTTTGTTCTGTGCATGGTGTGCTGTAAATCAGCCTCCCTTCTCTGAATTTTTATCAAAACTTTTTTTTTTCATTATTTTGCATTATAAAATATTTTGGTTTACCTGGGTTTTTTGTTGGATTTTTTTCTGGCTATCTTAGCATAACCCTCTTATAACTTGTCTTATTTTTAGTGCCTTATGGATTGAAACAAGTTTCAAATTATCTTCATTGCATTGCATTTTCCTTTGTGTAGGTTTTAGCAACCTTTAAGGGGTTGTTATGCTGATTTTTCATTATTCATTTGATTTAAATGGTAGGAGCATCCACCAGACATGTAAATATGCTAGATTTGAGTGAGTGGAGATAAGTTGTTTTTGGAATTTGATATGTTGTCTAAGTGTGAGCAAGGTAACAAGTTGTTTTTGGAATTTGATATGTTGTCTAAGTGTGAGCAAGGTAACATAATAAGTGATTTAGGGAAAATGGTAAGTCCTATTAGAGTTCCAGAGGGAAGAAGTATAATGCACATACACTGGACAGGCAGCTATTGAATGAGTTATAGTGACTGTTTCCTTTTAAGTCATCTTATCTTGATGAGAAATGGTTGTTGTAAAATATACATATATGTACTCTATGTATCCTCTTCTCTCAAATAATAGGTACATAATGGAGTTCTATTTTGTTTTGTTCTTTGTTGTTCTATTTATCACCCTAGCTGTGAGTGAGTTGATCATTTATTTGGGGTTTTATTGAAGGACTTTTATTTACTACAGTGTTAGTTTCTGCCTTGAATATTTTTTTCATTATCCAGTGATTGTTGTTGGGTAAATGCTTTGAGAGCTTGGAGACCTTAATTTTTTATTATCTGTGCATTGGCTGCTAATTTTCAGGGATCTTGATTAATTAAACCTTATGTACTATTTTCATTCCTTGATTTCACTAAGAATTTAAAAACAGTATCTCAAAACTAGAATTTTAGTTTTTATCAGTTGGCATAGTGTAAAGTATTGTACATTCAAGTCTGTCCTTACAAATTCTTAGGCATTATTCTTATTCTTCTTTAGGTGAGGCTGTCTTTGAATTGGTGGAGATTTCGAGCGCTTCAATGAGGCTATCATTTGACCAAGGTTTTAAGGATACTTTGCAAGCTGATTTGATTGCCTTGAGGAACATATATTCTGATAACTGACATATTGTATGAACTTTCAAGGCTGGCAGAAGCTAGCTCGATATTAGTTTGCTACAGTAGTTTGTTTGCAATATACAAGATGCTGTTGCAGTTGACAGACTTTTTAAACATTCAAGATGAATGAAAATGACTATTTGTAAACATTGATAACATGTACTGTAGACTTAATTTGTATTCTCAACCATCCCCTTTCCTAGCTTCTGCATCCTAAAAGTGTAGAGCAACGAGTTGCACTGGTTTGAATAACTAACATTAGCATGCAGTGTGTTTTTACTAATATGTATTATTCCTGACAAAAGAATTTAGTCTGTGCAATTTGAATAAAATTTATAAATATTTTTTACCACATTATTTATTTCCAACCAAGGCAGGATGACTCTGTGGTGAACACACACACACTATCACTCATTCAGGAGCTGTCTTATCACAAGTGCATGGACATTGTACAGTAGACTGTCATTTAACACAGTAGTTATATTCCTGAAAATGTTAGACTGAACAACTTGTGTAGGGTTATGTTCCTGGGAGCCCCCAAAAAGCCAAACAACTTTTTTTTTAGATCTCCAGATCTTACAAAATAAAAGTGAATATGTAATTGTAGTGCATTGCCGTGATATATTACTGCTTAAGACTACAAATGCAATAGAAATAATAGTATTTCTTACCTTAAATTGTGGGTAATTATTGTGAAGAGTGGATATGGATGGTGTGGCCCTACTGGGCTAAGGTGGATGGTTGTTGGTTGTCGACAGAAGTGGATGGTAGAGGTTCTAGTACTGAAGTCGATGGTTGTATTGGAGAGTACATAAATTTTGTAATGGCTCTCTTGGTGCTCTTACCCTGCAGTACATTATACAGCTGATGGTAAGGCATCATTAGCTGGTCTAGACCCCTTTTCAAAGCACTGCTTCTAGATTTGTCAAGTCCTCTCTAGTGAAAAAGTCTGCTGTTATCTCCCTCCCTTGTATCTGTGCATTGAGCTCTGCCAACATTTCCTCTGGACTTTTGTCTTCATCATTATCATTATCATCACCATCATCATTATCATCATTATCATTATCATCATTATCATTATCACTATCATTATCATCATTATCATTATCATCATTATCATCATCATCATCATCATTATATCATTATCATCATCATTAATCATTATCATCATTATCATCATTATCATTATCATCATTATCATCATTATCATCATTATCATCATTATCATCATTATCATCATTATCATCATTATCATCATTATCATCATTATCATCATCATCATCATCATCATCATCATCATCATCATCATTCATCATCATCATCATCATTCATATCATCATCATCATCATCATATCATCATCATCATCATATCATCATCATCATCATCATCTTCATCATCTTCATCATCTTACATCTTCATCATCATCATCATCATCATCTTCTCTTCTTCTCTTCATCATCTTCTCTCTCGAGTCATTCACATCTCATATCATATCTCAAACACATATCTGGTATATCTCCAGCTGAACAATTTCTGAACCACTCTCAAGCAAGGGATAGCCAGTGAAAAATTACACAGAGGCCATAACTTTCTCCCCATGCTGCAATTAATTTTGATTGGGTGCACTTCATTCTCCATCACTTCTTAGCTAGCTTTGATGTTCTCTTCTTCTTCTTCTCATCTTGTTCTTCTCGTTCTCTTGTCCTTTTCCATCTCTTCTTTTCTTTTCTTCTTCTTCTTCTTCTTCTTCTTCTTCTTCGAGCTCATTCATATCTTCAAACCATCATCTGGTAATCTTGCCAGCTGAAACATTTCCTGAACCTGACTCTCAAGCAAGGGAAAGCCAGTGAAAGAATTAACTACAGAAGGCCATAACTTTCCCACCTGCA